TCGATATGTTGATAACTGTCTAGTTTTTTTGAATTTAATTGCTATACAACTTGATTAAGAAAAGGTTAATTTTCTGCAAACAAATGCTTGCAATAAGTTTTTTTTTTAATTTTTCAAGTCTCAGTTTTTATTGCATGCTAAATACGTGAAAAGTTAGCGAAATTTTTCGCTTGAATAGCTTGTTTAGGAAAGCTTTTACTTTTTAGGAACCGATATGTTCCGAAAATAACTTGGAATACTTCAAAACCTATGGGTTGCAAAACCTGCTTAATTTTTTAGCAAACCAAATCTTGCTAGGACATATTTTGAAATATTTAAAAGTTTCATTGCTTGAATAGCTTGCTCAAAAAACTTGAACGTTTTGTGAAATGATTTGCTCCATGAAACATTGTGGAAAATTTCAAAGCTTCATCGCTTGAATGGCTTCAATAGAAAAATAACTGATTTTTTCGCCAATTGAGTTTCTCCATGAAATAATGCATCGTTTCATTAGTTTGATCGCCTGATTAGCTTGCTTAGAAAATTGCAACTTTTCGCAAAATGATTCGGTCTAAGAAACTTGGAATATTCAAAAGTTCATCGCTTGAATAGATCGCTTAGACAAACTTATAACTATCACGAACCGAATCTTTTTGTAAAATAATTCGAAGTGTTTCAGAAATTCATCGCTTGAACTACCTGCTTAAGAAAAACATACACAATTTTTCCGAAAAAATGAGCACTACGAAGTAGCTTGAAATTTTTCAAAGTTTCATCGCTTGAATAGCTTGCTAACGCAAATTAATTTTTTCTTGAATTTATTTGCTCTAGGGAACAACTTGAATACATTTAAATTTCATTGCTTGAATAGCTTGCTTAGAAAAACTTAAATTTTTGCGAACCATATCGTTTTTTGAAATAACTTGAATTATTTCAAAGTTTCATCGCTTGAATTGCGTGCTAAGAAAAACTTGATTGAGACGGGCTTGCTAGTTTCTTGTCTATCAAGCTTGTCTTGTCTAACCTGTTCACGGAGCGTCGCATGACGGAGGGACCCTGGGTTCAAAGTATTAGTTCCTATACGCAGCTGGACCATGTAGTCCCTATCCGGGGGTGCCCAACTTCCCTTCACACTGCCATACAGCCCGAAAAAGTGCTGCGCGCGAGAGATTGCATGAGAGGGATGAAAAGCTGAGGAAACGAGAGAGATCTAGAGAAGGTGGAGAGAGACGTGGAGAAAAAAAAACAGAGAAAAGACGAGGGAACAACGAGAAAAACAAGAAAACCTTCCTGCTCATGTACTTAGTAATGGCTGATTTTCTAGTCACCCTACTATTCCGAAGCGTAATTGAACCAAACCCCGGCCCGCCATCTACCTTTAGACTTTGCCAAAACAAGTTTCTGATTAGCCAATACAGTGTCTCGTGCCATTATAGAGGGTGGATGCACCTAAACTGCTTCTCAATTAGCAAAGTAAAATCTGTTGTCACCCTGATATCACGGTGGGAACTGTGACTATTGCCAAATCAACCCCTTAGATACCTTCAAGAGTTAACCACAAACCCCACTACAGAAAATTTAATACCAGCAGAGGGTTCTGCAAAATGGCCCCAGACCAAAGTAAAATAAAATAATATACCAATTGGCAACCACCGACACTAAAGTCGCCTAGAGTCACAGGAAACTTTGTTTTCCATTGTCCCATTCTCCCCTACGCAAAACAAATCGTTTCCCAAAACAGACCTCCTAACGGTGGCAAAGGTGGCGGGCTTGCAATCATTATTAAAGAGGTCAAATATCAAAACATAAAATCGTTTTAAATGACCCCATCATAGATCAAATGCAATTAAATTATAATAAGCAAATCAAGTTGAATACATCATTTCTTGTAATTATCAAAAGGTGACTTCAATTGCTCCAACAAAATGAACAGTGCAGATCTTCTTGTAACTTTGTAAGTTCTTTTCATTTGCCCCTCTGATGATCACATCGGAGGTCCCTCAAGGATCTGTCCTCGTAACCTTGTTGATCCGAGTTTTCATCAATTGCCCTCCTATTCGCGGATGACCTGAAAGTTATTTTCGAGGGTAAAGTTAAAGAACTGACAAAGTTACAAGAATAAATAAACAATGAGTTTTGTTGGAGCTTTCAAAATCACACTTTGCTTAACTAGCAAGAAATGTTCTATAACTGAGTTCAAAGTTGGAAATCGAAAAAGGCCACCAATTGAGATAACTTTGTTCATGTTAATCACTTCATTGGAGGGAAACATCCCGTGAAGGTTGTTGGTCTGGCGAGCAGCGAAAACTTTTTTTGGACTGACGATGTTAAACAACGATGTTAAGCAAAACAATAAAATCTCTTTCGCCTGCGACAACGATAGCTTCAAAAGTACACTTATGCAGAGCTATCTTATCGTCAGCTCTATGCTTCCCATCTGAGTGCTGGGAACTTGGGGATCTGATTATCATATCATAGAATCCTTCAAGATAGCAATGAAATAGATATGTGGAAAACACGATGTAAAATTTACAGATGAATTACAAATTGTTGGCGAAGACAAGACGAAGAAAAGTCCTCCCAGAGATTAGGTATGGAGTGCACAGATTCAACTTCTGGCAAAGGACGGGCACAGAGTCAATGTCATCTAGAGAGTAATGGATGTTGGCAACCACCGACACTAAAGTCGCCTAGAGTCACAGGAAACTTTGTTTTCCAATGTCCCATTCTCCCCTACGCAAAGCCCCTTATTCTTTTCGATGAGCAGCTACTTCAAAATGAAATGGAACGAACAGAATACTGCTCATGGATTTTTATTTGTTTTGTTGAAACTGTCATGCAAATCCTAGATCTCAACAGTGGGACTAATCCCAGTGATATATCCACCATGTCCACATTCCAATAATAACGTTATCGCTTCGCTTCAACGTCTCCTGTTGAACATAAATGGGTTAATTCGAAGTAAATTTCTTTGAACTACAGCCTGACTCGTGCGGCTCAAGGTTGCAGAATTACATGTATCTGGCTTCGAGTCTTGAGCTTACCTGACCTTAGCCCAACAATATCAAATCTTGTTTTGTCCACTGGTTGATTTTGACAACATACTGAGATTACCTGACCTTAGCCCAACAATATCAAATCTTGTTTTGTCAACTGGCTCGTATTGACTCAGCATACTGAGATCAGATCTTTCAGCCCTTACCTTGGAAATCACCTGCAAAATTAAAACATAAATAACTGAGAAAATTATCTTGAATTTCTTTAAATTTGACTACATAGTTCGAGCAATGAGTGAAGAAGAGCTGGCGCAGTTTCTAGACACATACCTATAGGATGCATCAAAGAGGTAGAGCCAAACTTGCCAACAGAAGCTCCTAATTTCTCACAAAACAGGAAAAATCTCTATCAGCAACTTTCAGGAGACTCAAACTGAAAATCAAACAATTAGTCGAAGATAACGAAAAAGGAGCGGATTGAGTTGATAGGTAACTTTGACTGTCGGAGAGGCTACTCGCAAACTCTGGTCTAAAATTAAAAGACTTTCGATTACTTCAGCTAAAACCTTGGGAAAATGCATGGTGTTTAAAGACTCAATTTTTCATGACGCACAAAAGATTGGTAGCAAATTTCAGTATCAGTTAACACAACACCCAAAAGTTGCAAATAAGGAAAAATGCTAGTTATTCAAAAATTAATACTACTAGAACATAAAATAGTAGCAATCTCTATGAGAATGGCCGAAGATGGAATAAAGGCTAATAGGAAACTCAACTCGGTCGGGCCCGACATTTTCAAGCCGACCCATATGCTTTTGATTGGGAAACAAACCGCCAGCAATTTAGTATGCTTCTCAGTGATCTCTCAGGAGAGATCACTGAGATCAGGAGAGATAACTACCTGGTTTTACTCTCATTACGAACTTCCAAGAACACCAGCGCAGCTTCAGAAAAGAAGCTTCTGACTACCGCTGCCTTTTAACTCTATCACATGCTGCTTCACATCAGGCTCGAAAAATGCTAAAGTTTGGCAAAGATTTTTGATGGTCGTCGTTTTTCTCAAAGCTTATTTTGACCTTTTCTTTTTGTTTAAACATTTTCAGAGTTACTTTATGCCGTTTTCTCGCTTCTTTCAAGTGTTTGCGAAGTGTAGCTTCATCTCTGTTTTCACAAGCAAAGCTTGTGTTATAGTATGATCTCTCTTTTTTTCCAACCTAAGTCCCAAATATTGTTGCGACACAAATATTGTAAATGTGTTCATTTTGATCAATAACCAGCTATTAAGTACAGCCAATGCTAAGGATATTAACACAGACTATTATATTACAAATAGCACTTTAGCTTCAAATAATCATGGATCTGTAGCGTATAGGTAGGGAAGAAGACCCGCAACAAAAATAAGAGGGTTCGAACCTCGGCAGGTTTGGATGTTTTTTTAATGATCTTATGGTGATCTTTTGCTTTAAATGTTAGGTTCAATGTCAATAGCTGGGTCGCTTTTTGTTATACTTACGGCATTATTTATAATTTATTTCAAAAGTCAATTTTTTTGAAAAAAGAAGTGTAAAGTATGAATTTTTGAATAGCATTTCATTTGGCAGAGTAATGTATTTACAAAAACTATCTTAGTAGTAGTACAAGTGATTGAAAATGAAATCTCTATAATATGCATTATAGCTCTCAAATTTAATACATGCACTATACTCAAAATTACCACCTGTTGTAACATATCACCGAACTTTTTCGTATACTAGTTAAAATGCGTCCGCTCTATAAATTGAAGCATGTTAAATGGTAAATTTCTTTTTCAAGTTGACTGGTATTGCTAATGCGTCATAATTGGCTTGCTTCACTTAGCAATTATGTAGACTCATAATTGGCGTGCGTTACTTAAGGAAATTTTGTAGGCCCAAAGTTTTACTCATTCAGTTTTTCCCAGTAGCGTTATCGGGCATAATTTTGCATGTGTATGCGAAGTGCAACTTCGCCTCTGTATAAAATTTTTGAACGGACTTATGATTTAAGGTTCATCTTCTCCGAGAGAAAACACGATGCATAGCCCAGAAAACACCACAAATACTCAAAAAACATCGCATTATTCACTTGTAAGTAAATATTTGTGATATAAACTGATATGTAAATATGAAGTTTTCGAAGTTGTGCACAGAATCAGCTTGAATTAGGATTTGAGTTTTATATTTGAAATGTTAAAACCCATGTCAAACATTTTGATTTTTTAGGTCGATACGGTATGTGGTTTTTTCGTAGTGTATGTATGGCAGTTCGGAGTAATTGTGCATGATACTTGTCATTTCATCATACATTCCCAAGTATAATTGAGCACATTTTTGGTTGCTGGATTTTTAGGAGCTCTTTTCCACTGCCCCTGTCACCTTTTCCCTTTAATTTTTTGACAACTATTTTAATGTTGTCATAATTCAATAAGAATTGGCACGGTGAACAAATTAACATCGCGGATTTAGCCATGAAAACTCTTCAAGACCACTAGAAAATGAAAAATTTTAAAATGTTTGGAGGGAAGGGAGGGGGTGGAAAAGAGCCAAGTTTTGTTATCAAAATTAGAGTTTTCGTTTCCTGTTTATCAAAAAGGAGCACCTGCTGATATTTTGATTGCTATTACTCTTTAGTTTAAACCAGTGGCTTCTTCGGTTGATATGCTGATGGTTGACGTTCAAAACGTGCTATTTGGTGGTCCGTTCATGTTGAGTAAAAAGTGTGTTCAGGTCTACTTTTTTAGAACTCAGATAGCGCTCAAGTTTCACTCTTTTAAGTTCAATTCAATTTGATTTGTTTCAAGCAAATTAGGCAAAAACGCTTTCCAATAACAAATGTATATTTTAATTTCTCGCTGGAGTAAAAAGTAACCAATTGACCCAGTTTTATCTAATTAGGCCAGTTTTATAAAAATGTTCTATTCAAAAAAAACATCCTTGAAGTTCAAAGAGCTTCCAAGGATATTTGAAAGTTTTCAAGTCGATCATGTTTTTTCGGTTTGTTTGAGTTCATTGAAACTTTTTCAGCTTTCTGTTGACAATGGTTTTGACAAGTTGATTCGTGCTTTTTATAGCTTTTAACAAATTGATCAGGCAACCATTTAAATTTTGAAATAATTCTGACTTTAAAGCTGAAACTTATTAGCAACTTTTTTTCGACGTTTCGCGTTTGCCTTTTGTCGGCGTTTTATGGGTTCTTTTTTTGAAAAAGGGCACATCCAATCTTGCGGAATGAAATTTGCTTTGAAATTTGAAAATAGAGGCTTGAATTGTGCTAAGAAACTGACTTCTGGAAGAGAGCAATCAATTTGGTTTGCTCTTTTGACAGTTCAAGTTCAATTTGGAAATTTCGTTTGCAATGTTAACTCTATTTCACTGTCTCAAGGACAGAATTATTTCAGAATTTAAGACGTTGTCCGATGAGTTTGTTAAACGCTTTTGAGAATTGCAAAAGGTTCGGACAGACAGAATTAATTAAAAAGAGCAACTGTTTAGACATCAACGAAAATTAAAACTGAAATAAACATATCTTCGAAAGTTCATAAAGCATAGTTTTCGCTCAAAACCTGTTACCACGCTGGGCAATTGCATCCGAAGCGTCGAATACTATTTCTTGAATAATGAAAATTATTGCTAAGGGTTGCTAATATTTTTCTGCGATTAGTTTTCAAATTTTGAATAAGTTGCCATCTTCACCTCGTTTGTTTTTTTTTTGTTAAAAATAAGTCCCTGATAATCGTTTTTGTAAAACATTATAAACGGTGGAATTACATTCTTGAACTGATTTTACTAATAGTTTTATAGTGAAATCAGAGTTTTCATCGCAGTATTTAAAAATTAGGCTAGCATAATCATCGGATAATCGACGAACTCGCATTTTAAATTCGGTCTGTCCAAAATTCAAGGTTGTTCAGCTTCAGATTTTGCATGCAAAAAAAGGCCGAAATGCACTGAGTGCTCATTTTAATTAATTATGTCTATCCGAGTTTTTTAATTATATAATTTAAATATTTTTAAAATAATTTGAATATTATTAAAATAAAATTATAAAAATATTTATTATAAAATTATAATTTAAAATAAAATTTAAATTTTATATAATTTTTATATATTTTACAGCCTTCAGTAATAGCTACAGACGTTTAGAGTTCAGAAAAATTGACGATTAAAACTTTTTTATTCGGCTTTGTCCGTTTACGCCTTTCCACAAAACATAAACGGTGTCAACAATGGTTTTCAAAGGTCAATGCGAAGAACGATTTCTGTAAATTCTTTAAAGTTATTAAAAAACAGATTTTTTTCCAAATTTGTGTTTCGATTTTTGCTAGTTAACTTGGTCCTAAAATAGAAGCTTGTTTTTTTTTTAATAACAAGTGCACTCTTTTCCGACAGTTCCGTCTCATATAGCTAGCTTTTTTGCTTGTTCAGTTTCTGTGTTAAATTTTGTTGTTCGGACTAAGTTTTTCTGCAGTCAAAGTCATTCCAATTTGAATCGAGGCAAGCTAGTGGGTCATAATAATTACCTCATCTACTCAAAATTTTATCGTCATTTTCGATTTTGGCTATTGGGGAATGAAAAACAAGCTAAGATATTTGTAGTTTATTACACTTGCGAGCTGGTCAGCGCAGTGTTTTAGTATGAACCGACTTTTTTCTAACCTAACTCGCAAATAAAATTTTTGCTATAATCACGATTTGTAGCATTAGAAATTTCATAGCATGTTTCTGCTTTATACTCGAGGTCGCTGGTTTGAATTCGTCGCATAGCAATAGTTTTACTAATTTGAGTCTGATTTCTACTTTTTCTTATTTTATTATACAGAGCTGCTTTTTGTCGTTTTCTCGCTAGTGTCAGCTTCGCCTCTGTATCAAATTCCAAATTTCCAAAATTTTCGAGATTAGTTGAATTGCAGTCGGACAATTTGTGGCTTTGACCTGATACGACGAGTATTGTTGCAGTATGTGCATAAATCAGCTATAAAGTACAACCGATTCTTATGATATTACAGCTGGCTATTGTTATCCGTGCGATTAGCAAGGTTATGGTACTCGTGTAATAGCTTTTCTCCGCACACATTGTTGCTAACAGAAACAGCACTCGAATCCAATGACAATTTCTGCTTATTTAGCCTAGAGGTAATGCCCATGCTTGGGACGGCAGAGCATCTGGATTTGATTACGTACATGAGTTGTTTTTTGTTCAAAAAAATTGTCCGTGTCAGATTTTAATTTAAGAGCTGTTCTTCAAGAGAATGAATGGATCGTAGTTACTTTTGAAAATTTGAAAAAATATATCTATCTGAACGCTTTTATTTTCTATTTCATGTGAAACAATAAATCGCCTCTATGTGAAACAAGCAATTGGCAGTCTTGAAGATGCTGTCAGCTTCAACTATTTGATTCTTTTGAAATTTTATGTTGCATGTTCAGGTTTTTGTATATCCTTTTTTAAAAATGCCTATGAAAAAACTGTTTTGAGTGTTTACGAGTTATTACGTTGAACGTTGAAAACTTAAACTTATGTCATTTTTAAATTTCGACGTGCTTGTTCAGTTTGATTCGTTGTTCGTGCAATTGGCATGTTTCTGTAGAAAACAGAATGTTTGTATATGCAGGGTCTCTACTCGTTGCTGGAGTCACAGATGAGGTTCGAGGACAGTCTCAACAACCTCCTGGAGAAGTCGCTCATTCCACTCGGAAACAGTAACATGTAATTTTGAGCTTATCCATAAAATCCCACCCTCTGATAAACAGTATGTCGGGCTTGATTTGGAATCTTGATTCTTAGTAAAAAGAGTTGTTTGCGGGATTTTACTCATTTGAATGTATTTTTTTAAATTTAGATTTTTTAGCTCTTTTCTTTCTCTGGTCATATACTCTTCGATTTACTCTGCGTTACGTTTTAGGCGATTATATTTGTGGTAACATTTTTTTTACACCAGGGCGCTAGTCTTTTCTCCAGCCACAAGTTTGTTAAATTTTGGGCTGCTGATATGAGAGCTATTGCCATACTCGGAACTGGAAAGATCTGACATGCTCAACTGATCATGCTCACTGTTATATTTATCGAGACCGATTGCAACTGTATATTAAATTTTCACTGTGTTTAGTTATTGCCGGCTACGGGTTTTAGGCTTACGATTTCGTTTGAATTCAGGTTGATGCGATGACACAGTTAATTTTAACAAATTTTTTCTTTTTTGCGCGATTATAATTTTGGATTAACTCATATAAATGTAAATGTCTAGTGCCCTGATATCAGATAAATTTTCCGGAAAGAATTTTTTTGTTTCTTGAGATTATTGATATTTTTCATTTTGCGTTAGCTATCGTTTTCTATGGTATTCGACAATTGAAAAAATTCCCTTTTTTGTTTGTAAAGACCTATTTTACTGTGCTGGCTATGTGTTCTTGTTTTTATCCATTTTTATAAAATTTTTCTGAATTTTATATAATTTTTTGAATTTTCGTTTCGACGTTCTTCAATTTTCGGGCTCAACAATTTTTCTAAATGTGGTTAGTATCTTTTCCTTATTGTTAATTGCCACTTGCTGAATTTTAATTGTAAGGCTTTGTTTTGTGTAGATTGTCTGCGAAGGATTATGACATCTTGTGTTGCAATTTGCATGAGATTACACAGTTGGTAAAAACGCTCACGAAAGAGCTGACAGATGCATGTAAGTTGGCCACATCCTCCTCATCATCCCCTTCCAGTCAGCAGGGGGGGAAGTTCGCCAAGCAGATGTGCTCGTTCCTGTCCAGATATAGAAACCTGCTGGTGGTTTATTGCGCCAATCATCCTCTAGCCCTGCGTGTCATCTCAAACCATAGGTAATAACGTATATAACTAAACTCGAAGAAGAACATGTAATTGGAAATTTTGTGGACCTTGTAAGTATTTTTACACTCGCGACATTCTGTTTTATCTTGTTTAGCTAAATCTTTGCATAGTTTCGAATGCTTACCACATTTTGCGTTCAAACACGGTACAATTTTTTGTCTCAAGCTATAACGTTTTTGCCTACGACGAAAAAAGTTCTTAGTTTTAGTCTGGCCAGAACCTGTTTTTTTTTTGCAAATTAAAAAAAATTTTACGTTAGAAAAAAATTGACAATCTATCGTTTCTCCGCTCATTTTTGGTCACCGTAATTTTCACTGCGCTGACTTGTCAACTCTTTTTTGTATTGGACATTTGATTAGCTCCTAGAATTTTCGAATTTGCCATCATGATTTTCTGTAATTAAAAAGTTTTCAAGGTTTTTTCGGCTCAAATGTTTCGACTCAGATATCGGCTTTATCACCTTACATTGCGTTATTTGAGAGTAAAAGATGTTCATCTTTTGTATTTTCCAAACAGCTGTGTTCCGATTAACTGGCTTTACCCAATTTTGTCAGCTTAGCTGCCGCTCGTGAGATTTTCGAATGCTTTTTTTAGAGCTGCCGATTTTGTTTCTATACATGTTTTCCTCAATTTGAACATAATTTAAAAGAAATGTAGTAGATGTAGTTATAGCTTTCTAGATATTTTATTAAAGAGTTGTATGTTTGCGTGGTGTCGCACGTGGTGGGAAGCTCTGCTTCGTGTATCTTGAGAGTTTCGGTTCAAAGTTTTTATTACGCTTGCGATTATCAAGCGTTCCTAGAAGGGAATATAGACCTATTTAATGGCGTTTTCGACTACACTTTTAAAAAGAGCTGCCACAAACTCTGAAAAAGCGTTAAGGTTTTTAGACATCGCTGATTCAACATAAGGTTATTCGAAAGAAGCACTGCGCACAACTTAAACGACAGTTTGGGTTTTAAAGCGAACTAAGTAACACCAAAAGACACGTTTGAAATTGAAAAAATATATAGTTTAAAAACAATTACGGGATTAGTGAGAATAAGTGACATCACGCATCTATAACTATATTGAGATTCACGTGACAAAATATTTAAACTCATCTATGCATGATTAAGCTAATGCTTTTACATAAGTATATCATCAAATAGCTGGCTTTTCTTTGATCATCAATACGTTTTTAGGTTAAGCAGCCAAGCAATCAAGTTCAAGTCTCCCAGCCATTTAATTGCTAGGAAAAACACACTGATCCATCCTGATATTAAAACACTCCTTCATTTTACAATCTATTTCGCATTTTTTGGTTATCAGTGTAATTGATCTATTTATCTATACGTTTTACGTTTGCGATTAGCAAGCGTTATCAAACTGGAATATAGACTTTTTTCGGGTTAAAAACTTGCTTAACAGAATCACTTGTATCTTGGCTCATAACGAACTCAATTTTCTATGCGTTCCCGGACAACTTAGCCTGGAGGTAACAAACATGCATGGTGCGGCAAAGGTCCTGGGTTTGAATCTGATCAGGACCTGTTTTTTTTTAAACGGGAATTTTCTGTTTCAAATAAAATTGTCGGCCTATTACTTGTCTGCTTATCTGTTGTCGGCTTAGTTGTCACATCTTGAATTTGTTTTTGCTGCGAGCATTTTTCTTCAATGTTGCTTTTAGGTTTTGATTTACTGGTACAATTCGTAATTTTACTTACCTTGAGCTCGTATTTCCTTCGTTTTGTTAAATTGGCTTTAAAACTTCCTCGACCTTAAATATTTCGGCCTATTTTTATTGGCCTGATGACCTAATTTTTGATCGTTTCAAGGGAAACACAACTTACTCTTCTAACTTGTTTCAGAAGAGAAACAACCAAGGTTTTGGGCAAAGTCCAATTTTTGAAATCACCTTTTTCGTGCCGCATCAGTTTAGCAATTTCATTCATTATCAATTACATGCCTCCAGCTTTAGTTGGGCACCTAGTTGCTTTTTATTTCGAAATTTAAAAATTTTGGATCACCTAGTTTTAACATTTAATTTTTTTTTCAACTCAGGGTTTTTGTTTGTGTTGTATCGCAAGTGGTGCGAGGCTTCGCTTCGCCTCTGTTAAAAGTCGATGAACTTTATTTAGGCTCTTATATAGGTCGTGGTGGTTTTGTTTCGTTTTTTTTCAGGAAAAGTTGTAAAATGCTCTAATAACAAAAGAAGTGCATTCATACATATGAATGCTCTTAGGTATATATGCACTTTTTGGGTTTAATTCAAGTACATATCCTAGAAGGTAGACAAAATGCACTCTCCGATTATGAAATGGCGCACAAAAATGGGATCCATTTTTATTATCGAAAGTGGAATTTAATATTTAGATTATACAGCAAAATAATAATTTTCCCTAATAATCTTTTTTTTTTTTAAAGGTTTTTTTTTTTTTTTTTTTTAAGGTTTCTAAAAAATAAAAATTGCTTACATATACAAAACAAACAACAAATGTGGGATGAATCATTGAGGATTGAATAATCTTAATGATCTTAATAATCTTAATCCTAATAATCTAGTTTTCTAAAAAAAAGTGCCGATTATAAATTTTTCTTGAAATTCAATGAGCTTTAAGGCCTTATTTTTTGTTTGAATTTCGAAATTTCAATTTTTTCTGAGTCCATGAACTTTATTTAGGCTCTTATATAGGTCGTGGTGGTTTTGTTTCGTTTTTTTTTTCAGGAAAAGTTGTAAAATGCTCTAATAACAAAAGAAGTGCATTCATACATATGAATGCTCTTAGGTATATATGCACTTTTTGGGTTTAATTCAAGTACATATCCTAGAAGGTAGACAAAATGCACTCTCCGATTATGAAATGGCGCACAAAAATGGGATCAATTTTTATTATCGAAAGTGGAATTTAATATTTAGATTATACAGCAAAATAATAATTTTCCCTAATAATCTTTTTTTTTAAAGGTTTTTTTTTTTTTTTTTTAAAGGTTTCTAAAAAATAAAAATTGCTTACATATACAAAACAAACAACAAATGTGGGATGAATCATTGAGGATTGAATAATCTTAATAATCTTAATAATCTTAATCCTAATAATCTAGTTTTCTAAAAAAAAGTGCCGATTATAAATTTTTCTTGAAATTCAATGAGCTTTAAGGCCTTATTTTTTGTTTGAATTTCGAAATTTCAATTTTTTCTGTAGGTTGAAGTTGAACTATGCGTTGGGTTGTTGGATACGTTTTACCTGCGCGTGAGACTTTCTTGCCATGCTGAAGCGTTCTTCGCAATGGTTAAGCACATAATTATCTATGCATGGGTCAGCTAGTTCATGTAGGAAATTGTGTCTTAGATGCTATGTATTCTTTAGTTATGCATGCAATTCCGGCCTAAACAGTCAAACAAGCATGTACAAGTAATAATTTGTAAAAAAAAATATGTATATCCATCCGTATATAAAGATCTTTTTTCATTTGAATATAAATAATTTAATGATTCAACAGTTGTTTAGATGTTTTTGTTTTGGTCTGTGAGTCTGTAAGTGTTTACCTATCGGACATAAGCGGTCTTTCTAATTCAATCAGATGCTCGAAAACAAGGCTTAGTGTAGCTAAAATAACTTTAACTATACAGAGTGAATAGCGTGGCGTTGTTTTCTTTAATGTCGGCTACTTTTTAAGTAACGATACAGTTCGTTGGATACGTTTTTGTTTTGTTTATTTGTAAATATGATTGAGACTTGGACAAAAAGTTAAGTGTCAATGATTGTACTGAACACACTCAAATGGGTCGTGTTTGTCGCGTTTCTTTCTTGAGTTAAAATTTTAATAGTGGTGTTTCTTGTATTTTCACATTTTTGCCTCAACCAAACTCGCTAATAAAACAGCTCTTTTGATGGCATTTTTGCTAGAAGCACGATCTGTAGCATTGGAAATAGCAGAGCATCTGTTCTCTGCTTGGTGGCTAGTGTTTGCTGATTGTCAATCGACAGTGGATCAGATGAAAGGAAGCGAGACTGCTCGTCGACAAGTCGGAGGTTCAATGCCGCACTTAGCCCTTTTTTGTTTTTCGGTGACGTTTTTGCTGCGTATCGTTGGCAATTTATTATCATCTGTAGCTGTTGTAGCATCTCTATTAGCGTTTAGAGCTGCTTTTCTGAATTGTAGCTTCGCCTTTGTGTTAAGTTTTTTCAAATCGACTTTTGATTTCTTTTTAAGTTCCATTCAATTTCATTTGTTGAAAGGAAGGAAGTTTGTGGTCCTCAATTACAAAAATGGAAATTGAGCGAAAAAGTATGAACGACTTTAAGTTGCGAACGTGGATTTTAAATTGTAATCACCAACGGAATATAAAAATTAATTGTCATCAAAAAAAAATTGTTAATCATAAGTTGTACAAAAACTTGAAATGCAAGGAGCTTTAAAGCAGCATAATTTTTTCTTCAAAATTCGAAAATTGATGTTTCATAAATAAACAAGGCTTTTTTGTTTTCTAGTATTCATTGACACTCTTACAACTGGCTGCTGTCTATGTTTTTTAAGTCTGACAAAAGCTATACGAGTGATTTGAGTTGGCGAGGGCTTAATAGAATTGACTGTCCGTTGCTTCTTTTCCCTTCCTGCCCAATTTGCTCTACGTCACGCAGCGAAACTTGTCTAAGTAAGATAAACAGTTTTGGACTCGCACCTTAGTGCCTTTGTACCAGCCAATCTGATCCCACCCATTAAAAGAGTTCTATTGAACATAAGTTGTATTGCTTAACGAATCAGAACATAACTGGATACAGTTGTATTAGTAACAGAATAGAATAGAAGACCTCGCTCTGACTCTGCTTTGATCAGAGCTCAGTTGAGCGAGAACAAGTCATGGGAAATGGGAATTTGTCAAATTGCTTACCAACTAGCTGGCATGGTTTTCTATTCCTCTTTGTGTCAAATTTCAAGTTATAAACACAAAAGGAGTTGAGTTCTATGTCGTTCTCTGAAATTATAGGTCGGAAGTAATTTTTCCTACTAGTGATTTTTTAAATTATCCTGCTTTACTTCACCTAGAGAACATCTCTTCAGCGGAGTAGAACGGACTTTATCTTTTGTTTGTTCAGCTCTCAACTAGACAGCTTTGCCAAGGCCAGTAGATCATCCCTGGGTGCTCCCGCCTCCTCCTCGCCATCTCCAGCAGCAGGTAGTGGCTACAGTGGTACCATTCTGGACTTAACAGCCGCCTTCTCCCAGCCTTTCAGACAAATCGAGACCTACTCTGGCATCCTCCGCGAAATTAAGGCCTCAATTTCGGTCAGTATTACTCTTCTCTGTCTGGTGCAAAGCAATAATTGCGTTCAAGCGTCAATGAACGAAATTTAGACACTTAAATAGGTCATGTTCATTTTTTTCTTCTTTTTTCTGCAAAAAGTCTAAATAGTTGTTCACGCTGAAATTTGATTTTTTGCGGTCTGATTTTTGATTTCTGTTTGAGAGTAATGAGCGAAGTGAGTATTCTTATATAGGTCTTGCTGATTTTTTTTGTTTTTTTTTTCAGGAAAAAGACTTAAAATTTGTCCACTCAATTTTGATTTTTCACGGCTTGACATGTGATTTCCTTTTAAGTTTAGTGCATTACTATTTTTAAAAGGAAGGTAAACTCCACTATCGAACAGCACAATTGTAAAAGTCACGAAACACGTGATCTACTTCTAATTTCGAAAATGGAAATGAATTATCAGATTTCCCAGCGAAATAAAAGTTTACCTATTGATCCAGTTTCCTCAAATTGGGTTAATTTTAACATAAAAAAGTCCATCATAAATTGTTCTACAAAGTAACTGAGCTTTAAGACCATCTATTTTTTTCTTTGAAATTCAAAATTTGAAGATTTTTGAAAAAAAAAAAACAAGTCAGTTTTTTCAGTTTCCTTGGGTTTATTACTCTTTTCCAACTGTCAGTTGGCTATGCTTAATTACAATTCAGTTCCATTTGCTAAAACGAGGGAATAAAAGGGCAAATGACTTCAATCTCGAAAATGGATTTCAGTGGAAAATTTAAAATTTTTCGCGATTTGATTTTTGATTTCTGTTTAATTACAATTCAGTTCCATTTGTCAAAATAAGAGAAAAAAAGGGCGAATAACTTCAATCTCGAAAATGGATTTCAGCGGAAAATTTTTGCAATATAATTTGACGGCTTTGTTCCAATTTTCAAAACGTTTTTTTTTTGGTATATATCCTCTCTCATTTCACAAATATCTGTGTTATTGGAGTGATTCTTTTTTGCATTAGGCAGCCAAAATTTGCCGAATTCTGATTGTTTGTTTTAATAATTTCTGATCACGCTTGTTTTGGCGGCTTTCATGGTGTTTTGTGCTGAGCAAGCTTCTAAAGAGCTGATTTCAATCTTAAACAACCGGATGAAATGAACTAAAACAAAAATTTCAAATAGTTTCTATGAAATTCGGAAATTTTGGATTAAAAGGGGGAGGAAAACGTTGTTTGAAATTTAACAAGCATTTTCATGATGCAAATATTATTGGGAATCTTTAAAGTGAAGTTACACCTTAAAACGGGTCAACTCAAATGGTTCAAAGTTGGGGCGTAAAACATGGTAAAATGATGTAAGAACAACTTCAATTGAACCTTTTTCACTCACTAAATTTGTACCAATTGATTTGAACCCTTTTAGGGTGTTATTTTGGTCGTGAAACAAATGCAGAGAAACTTCATTAAACCGTGAAAACAAGCATGAACAAAAAATCCAACTTAATAAAAATTATCAACCGAATTCGGCAAGCTTTTGCAGGCTACTGCAAAAAGAATCCTTTCAAAAGCACAAATATCTGAAATGAAAGAAGATTTATACTAAAAGCGTTCTGAAAACACCCTGTATATAAACTACAAGTCGAAGCGGCATTTTTGATGTATATATTTTTTTCAGATATTTCAAGCTCGAGCTGTTGCATGCTATATTTACTTTGTTTTTAAAATCATGTTGACTGTCAAGAACTGCTATCTGGAATTTCTGAAAGTGGATGTGTTGACTTCATAAGATAAATCGGGCGGTTATCCAGAATTTGGAGCTCCTTGGTTTGAATCTTGTAATTAGCAAGGGTATTGCAAGTGGGTGCTAGACTTTCCCGTAAATAAACCTGCTCCAGGAGTCTTTTCCGTTGCATCGCACCGGCTCAAATTTTGATGGATTTTGTATGTTCCTGGCATCCTAGAGCTTTACCACCAATGCAATTGTTAGGCAATATTTACCACTGTAGAGGCTTTTTGAACTTTGAAATGGATTTTGGGGTTGCTTTCCAAAAAATCCCCCAAATCATAAATCTTATTCGTTAAGTTGTCAAACATTAATTTCTCCGTGAAGGATTTTTTTCGTGTAAATTTGAGTGTTTCCGTATAGTCCTGCTCATAAGCTGTCTGCAGATGTCATATTTATTAAAATTGGATTGAAATTTGATTTAAAAAAAATTAACCCTAATTTAAGGCTGGCAAAAATAAGATTGGGACCATAACCTTTCGAAATAATGCTCGGATGGAAAAAATAAGCACATCGGTGGGCCTATAACAGATCTTTCCAACGTTATATCACAATCAAAAAAGCGTAAAAATCCTATCATGTTCCGAAAAGTCAGGTTAAGTTTTGAGCTTTTTTGGGCAGTTTTGGTTTTTGCCCCCGGCTCATGAGTCTTTTCCGTTAATTTTTCTAATTGTGTGCTATTAGCGAAACTTACTAGCTTACTCAAGTTACCATGACTACTAAGCTGTGCTATATATTTTTTCAACAATTTATGATAAATAATCTAAAAACTAATTATTTCCTTACTACACAATTTTTTCGTTAAATTTGAGATTTATCAATTGCAATCAGTTTTTAGATACTAGTTTTTAACGGATTTTAAGTGGTAGGGCAGTGATCTGGAGTCCGCATGTTTAATTTAAAGCGTTTTCAGTAGTAGTTGAAACACCTCATGTGGGCTTTTGATCCGACAAACTTGCTCTTCGAAGAATTATTTTTTGTTATATAAAAATATATTTTTTGTTATATATTTTTTGTTATACTAGACAATTGATAAAAATAGATGGCATGCAATTGGTCTTTATGGGTGGAAGATCTACTACCGATGCTGTTTTCCTTATTAGACATTTGAAGTAACTGTTTGTGGAAAAGAAAAACCCCTGCATCACATATTTGTTGATTTCGAAAAAGTCGTGTTTCTAGGGAACTGATCGCATGGGCTCTGAGGCTACTGATAGTTCCCGAAAAGCTGGTACGACTAAGAATGCGCATGAACAGCGAGTCGAAAACCAGAGCTCGCCGGCCCCAAGGATGCACTGATTATTTCGAAATTAAAGTAGGCATGCATCAAGGATCGGCACTTAGCCCATTGTTATTTTTAATAGTAACGAAAGAGGCTACGAGAAACTGTCGTTCTATGGCACCATGGGATATTATATATTCAGATGACTTTGTGTTATCCGCTGAAACGGTGAAATAGTTGGAATAGTTGGAGTTAAATAGTTGGAACAAGGCTTTGCAAAAACGCGGTTTAAAAATCAACGTGGATAAGACAAAGCATTTGATTTCAGGCCAAAAGTCTATTCCTCAAAAAAATATATACGTGTGGTTGTTGTTTGAAGGGAATCAGTCCTAATTCAATACGCTGCAGTTCCTGTAATCAATGGGTGCATAAAAAATGTAGCCTGAAGAAAATACCTAAACATTACTAATCGTTTGTCCAAGATGCAATTAATCCTTCCAATGATCACTCAAATCATAATGCTAATCCACGGATTAATCAATTTGTTCTACGGAGAGTCTTAGCTGAAACACCTCATTTAGACTTCTGATTCGGCAAACTTTCTCTTACAAGAATTGTTTTTTGTTATAAACATTTTTGGTCAACTAAGGTCCGATAGAGGTGGTGAATTGTAATTTTGGCCTTTTTTTTAATCTTCAATAGGGTCCAGTATCTCCAAATTTCAGACCATAATATTTAGTTTTTTGGAAATGTTTTTTGTAGTCCAAATAAAAACCAGGCATCTTGAAAAAGCTTACCTCTGGTTAAAAATAGTTATCTAAGCTCCTTTAGAGGAATTTATTGCCATTTTTGTCCCTCTCTGTTTGATATGATTAAGTTTTGTCCCTCTCTGTTTGATATGTTTAAGTTTTGTCAGTAAAGTCAGTAATAACATTTTTTTTGAGAAAAAGTGTTTCTTCTAGGCTGAATTCTATTAAAAAAATCAAGACCTCAAGAAAAACATGCAGCTGCAAGAGATAGTCTAGTGTAATTTTCGACCGAATTGTGTAATAAAAAGTGTTTTCTAGAAAATATTTTTCTGCTTTTCCATAGTTCTCTGAGATCTTATAGAGATTGTGTGTTCTTATTTCTGAACCAGTCTGATCATTATCATATATATATGATAATTTTTTTATAACAGACAATATCAACAACCTTTTATGAGCAAAGTTTTTTTTTTGTTTGGCTGAAACTTGTAAGATTTTGCTAGGCTGAATTATTTAAATGATCTTAAAATGATTTCTAGAGATGATTAAAAAATGATATCTAGAAAAAAGTGTTTCTGTGTTGATATGGTTATCTGAGATCCTTAGTGTTTTTTAATTATCCATTCTTTTTTTGATCAATTTAATATCATTTTAATGTGATTAGTTGCAGAAAATAAAAGCATTTTTAGAATCGAAAAGCTTTTTTTGATGGGCTGAAATATGTAAGAGTAAAACGAGATTTCTTAAAAAAGTTTTACTGTATAAATATTGTTTTCTATTCTCCTATAGAAGTAGTATATTGTCATTATCAAACTTTTCTGACCAGTATCGTGGAGTTTTTTTGAGTTGAGAAAGGTTGTTTACTAGGCTGAATTATATAAGAAAAAGTGATTTCTAGAAAATATCTCTGCTTTATTATAGTCTTCCGAGATCCTATAGAGATTGTGTGCTCTAGTTTTTCACCCTTTCTGATCAATATGGTCCATTTTTTATAACAGACAATATCAACAACATCTTATGAGAAAAGTTTTTTGATTGGCTGAAATTTGTACAAAAAAAAGTGATACCAATATTTTAAAAACAATTTTTTTTGCCAGGTTGAATTATTTATGATTTTTTAAAAATGATTTCTGAAGGTGATTTCTATTTAAAAATTGATATCTAGAAAAAAAATCTTTCTGCGTTGATATGGGTATCTGAGCTCCTATAGAGGATGTGTTTTGTAATTATTGACAGTTTTTGATCAAAATGATATGATTTCACCTGATTGCAGATAATAGTTTTTTTTTGCT